TCCAAAGGACACTCTGGGGAGCACTGCACTAAGGCACAGCACTACACTTCCGGAACACTCACAGGAATTCATAGAATTGCCTGGACATCGCGAGAACTGTACGAGTCGAGAACTTGCTATACCGTAGCGAAACACAGCAAGAAAAACTATCAACAGATAGCACGGAAGCACGAGCCAGCCCGTGACACCTCGGTCGGTGCCCCGAGACAGACTGCTTTGACAATAGCCAAATACAAAATTATTGTTCTCGGAGATGATCCCGTGACGGAGATCTCGAGATTTCGCAAGTGCACCCGAAGCTTCCCCGCCATTTTTCATTAGGAAAGCGATGAAATAGAAGTTTCATTTTTATCCACGTTGTAGCTGAGATTTCAACGATTAAAACGCGCTTTTATACATCCAAATACGAGTACGCTAAGGGGTTAAATTATCCGTTTGAAAATACGCCTAAATTTTGCGAGTGTTGCTCGAAGCGCTCGGGGGACAAATGCTTGGCGCGCGTAGTACGGTAGTAGTCCCCCAAGCGCCTCGAGCGGCACTCGCAAAATTTAGGCGTATTTTCAAACGGATAATTTAACCCCTTAGCGTACTCGTATTTGGATGTATAAAAGCGCGTTTTAATCGTTGAAATCTCAGCTACAACGTGGATAAAAATGAAACTTCTATTTCATCGCTTTCCTAATGAAAAATGGCGGGGAAGCTTCGGGTGCACTTGCGAAATCTCGAGATCTCCGTCACGGGATCATCTCCGAGAACAATAATTTTGTGAGAATATGCAGTATCATTAAAAATGATATCATGTAGAAACTGGACCACATTGGCCGGCGCGTTCGGAAGTTATGGCCATTTAAGTGGTTTCACTTCAAGAGGGTGTAACTCCCCCTAGAATGATCCTGCAGGGGTTCAATGGGTTTTTTTTTTTAATGCTGAAGGATGCTCTCTCTCGTGCCCTAATTAGAAATATAAATTTCCTTCCGGAACTACTAGATATCGAATTTTTCAAAAAGTTCCAAAATGCACTTATTCACTCCACTCCCTGCCATTCGGCCATTTTGTATCCGATCGGGATAAAACCTTTACCATTCGAACGGGAAGGAAATTTCCTAAAAAATATGTTTCTGGTTTTTCGAAATCCGTCATACTTTCAGAGATAAGTAAAAAAATTCAAGTGTTGCACTTTAATTGGACGTTACTGTATATCAAAGTTTAATCTAACTGATTGCAGAAGTTGTAAGGTTCTGTGTGCTCTATGTTTTGATGAAAAATATGAACAGGATTCAAGTATTAAATGAATTTTTAAAATAATACACTGCCCTGGCAGATTTTGTGAAATCATTTGTGACGTGATTTTTCGAATCACGGTCCCAAGATAACGTTCTCGATTTCTGGTTCCCTTCGGGTCGCCACCCTGCTCCGAAACTATGCTCTCGGGTTGATTCGTACAGTTATGTCAAGGCTCTCGTAAAAACAACAAAAAATGCGTGAATTATTTCAAAGTAGTTTCACGTCTAGAAATTAAGCGATCTCACGCACAAAATTTGCAGAAGCACAATGTAAAGCACATATCTTCGCATTTACCCATAAGTCCATAAAGCTAATTAGTTGTCCCTTTAAATTTATTCAAAATATTTACGTTTCTATGAAATAACTCTAAAAAACTTAATAAAATCTTGATTATAATAAACTAAAAGTAAATCTGCAATTCATAAAACCCGTAAATATAACGAAATACCTGATAGAGACACATGAATGAGTAAAATAAAATGACCTATCCTTGACAAGTTTCATGAAGTTATCAACTTGTGGTAACTAACAATTCCATATTGATCTGTGTGAAATTAGCCTGTCTTCTTTAAAAAAATGGATAATTTGACGTTTTTTTCAGTATGTTCTACATTTGTTCCAAATTGTTCCAAAGTTGTACCACAAAAACTAGTTCCGAAACAGTAATAATGGGAAAGAAGTGAAATTAGCCGCAGCCGCTCTTTTGTCGAAAATCATATTTTTGAAAATTGTTCCAGGTTGTTCTAGTTGTTCCTAATATTATTTCAAAAGGGCACGGTTATATATGTAACAATTCACCCAGAAAACGCAGAAAAAGGATTATTGAAACCACGGTCGTACAAGAATAAATTTTTTCCCTTTCGCTTTCTGGTCTGAGAAGTCTATTGGTTGTTCCAGGTTGCTCTCATTCCTAGTAACATTGTTCTAAAGTTCTGTTGCCATTGGTTTGAGATTTTAAATATTTTATTTAAGTAATCCGTTACGCGCATAACTAAGAATGTAGGGATCCAGCTACCAAGTCCGCAGATATTTAAATGCCTATTTAAATAGTATTTAACTATGCACTCCACATTTTATAATTTCATTTCTCATAGCCACTTTTCTACTGTGCGATATTTTGATTACAGTGGAACTCCGATAGCTCGAATCTCAAGGGAAACGAAATATGCTTCGAGCTATCGTAGTTTCGATCTATCGGGGTTTTCAAGTTATAGAAGTGAGGCATTATAAAACTCGAAGATTCAAAGCCTTATAGGGATTTTTGACTTATATAAAAGTCTTTTAAAGAGACAAAATTCCTGAGGCTACTTCAATATAAAATATGAAGCGCCAATGAAGTTTCACCATTTTGGAATGACAACAACTTGGAACAACCAATCGAATTCTCAGAACAGGAAATAGAAGCGTAGTTTACACTTGAACGCTTTCAAAGTATCTTTTTCTGCGTTTTCTGGGTGAATGGTTACATATATGACCATACCCCTTTGAAACAATGTTAGGAACAACTAGAAAAACCTGGAACAAATTTCAAAAATATGATTTTCGATAAAAGGGGGTTGCCGCTTATTTCACTTTTTTTCAATTATTACTGCCTCGAAAAAAGTTTTTGTGATACAAGTTTGGAACGATTTGGAACAAACGTAGAACTGGAAGAACCGCTACATTTTTAATTTCTTAAAAAAGGGGGGCTAACGTCATACAGGTTCCATATTGATGTTATCAAATATATAATACATGCAACAGCTCACCAGATTAAATATGATAAACTTAATTAAGACAATAAATCTTTATCACACGAACGACTGAACTTTAGAGACATATTTGAATATATTTGACACTTTTTTTTGTTACCCTTAATGATGGCATCGCCTACAAAGAGTTGACCACAATTATCTGCAGCCTGACCCTTATAAATCCTAGATATAAGTACTGGAAGTTTATGTTCTGCGCCTCCTTTTATGCTGAGTCCTAATCCGCCCACTTTTTGTCGTGTAATTTGAACCATTCGTTCTTTGGCATCCAAGGGTGGTTTATTGTGGTTTGCTGCCTGCTGAAAATTATTTCCCTTTTGTCTTTTTCTTGACAATGTACTAACATCAATATAATTTTATGAGTAATGATAGTAAATAAACTAAAGAATATAAAAAAGATACTTAGTAATAATGAAAATATATGATCAAGTAATAATAAGTTATACCTTATGTTATACCTTAAAAAGTAATCAATAATAAAATAAATACATAATCTTTTAAAAGTTACAAGAATATAAAGTCAATAATTATTCTAGAAAGTAACTTATTAATTTGTCAACTAAATCAGAAAATAATTATAAGGCGACACTAAACAAACATCAACGAAGATGCACATTACCTCCAAGTCTTCCCTTTGCAATTTTAGAACTTCCATAGACAAATGCAAACGCATTGGTATAGGCTTACTTTTCCCATCGCTGACTGTCACCATGCCTGACCTTACCTAATAAAATTACAAAATCCATATAATACACTGATTTTATCTACACAAAAAATATTAAATAATATATATAAAAAACAAATATAAAATAACTTGATTTTGGAAAACTGATTCATACTTGTAAGTTGAAACATTTGTGTCTAATTTAATTAATACAGTCGTGCCCCCATATCCGCTGATTTAGTATCCGCGGTTTCAGTTCTTCGCGGTCTCCGCATGATTTTTACTGTTTTGTATAGTACAGGTACCATATTTTTTTATTGCTCTATCGTCTCTTGCGGTTACGCTAAAACATCAGAATCCCTTATTTTCATAGTAAGAGAGAGAAAGAGAGAAAACACACGGTAAATTAACAATATAATGTACAAAAAAATTTATTATTACTTTGTTTAATGTTTATAATGATTCACGTAACCGTGGCAGGTATTGGAACGTATTAGCCACGTATATGGGGGCACTGCAGTACTTCACAATTATCAGAATGATTTTAGAGTCAATGAAGTGTTACGAATAAAAACTACAAAATATAAATACAATAAGAAGTCAAATGTAGTATCATTCCTAATCAACTTTTAGTGTTGAAAATAAAAAAGTGAACATATCAATAATTTTTAATGGTAGCTTGCATCTGGTTATACAAGCAGATTTGATAAACAGTTATGATAGTATATAATTAATTTGGAAATAAAGTATAAGATTATTCCATATGGATGTTAATCAAGTAGCCAGATAAAGAATAATAATACCAATTTACAATATTCTCCTCCTTTGGAAGTCCGATCAGGTATGGTTCTCAATGATTAATGAATTCAAATCAAATGTCACATTGACAATCCCAAATGATGAAGTCTCCTAGACATAATGCATTATTATTAAAAATATTGTTGATTAATAATGTCTAATTATTAATTTATTTTTCAGTTAGAACAGTAAAGTTCAACTCGAAGATCGTACATAGATCTAAATTGTAAAACACGTAAAAATATTACAAATTAACTCTGATTTTATGGAAACATTGAAAAAATTAGAAAACCAAAAGTGACAGACCATCACTAATGGCCATTGTGTAAAGATTTCTTAATTTCTTTAGTATCCAGCAAAATGAGAATTAATTTGTGGCATTTTTACTTCATTTTAAAATTAGGAGCATGACCTTTGAGTCGAACACAGCAGATACTGCTCTGCTCCATTTGAAAAATAAATTAAAAATTAGAAATCATTAATCAATAATATTCTCTAATAATAATGCGTTATGTTCAAGAGTGAGTCTTTAATATGTAATTTACACTAATGATGTAGCAGAACGATACCTGAAGAGGACTCTGAATGGAGCTGAAACATTTAAATCGCTGTTCTTCTTTCTTCACCTGGATGCTTGGTCAATACCTATATGGAAGGTGAATTATTAACACACACACACACATATTCAGCCAACAATCAACATATCATTGAATAAACTATAAAGTCTAGAATGCACTTTTACATTGATAATGCAAAATGAGCTTGTCAAAATACATTTTATTTGTAAATGAATTATATAAATAAAAACTCATTGATAACTAATCTTCAATATATGAAAGTGAAGTAGAGACTATATTCAAATACAAACTATCGATAATCAATACTATACTAATATAATCACATGATATTAGAAAAATTAAGAAGTATAGCTGGATCAATATTTATTTGAATTATCAATAACATATTAAACGACTGTTACAGACTATGAAGAATTAACACACTATAAACACAAATTTGACAGGTATATAATCATAGGTTACCATATAACATTAGGAAATTTATTACCACCGACTAATTATTTCAGACTAATACTCCTTAGTAAAAACTATTACTTGTTTAAGTATCTTTTTATACGTAAACATAAATTCTACAGGTCTGATTATACCGTGCAGATACGCGTTACGGATTCTTCGCCTTATAAAATCATATAAACATGATTAAATTTCTGCAATTTTGTACAGTAACTGTCATTTTTCGGATAACATGAACATGCGATAACAAAATTAAATGTTGAACCGTCGAATGAACACATCTAATACACCTTCGACATATTGATTTTAAAAATTATGAAATAAAATAATTATTCACTCATAAGGTTACCAATAGAAACTGCATCTCAATACCTTGAGTTTCTGGTCGATCTTCTCCTCAATCGGAGTGCTCATTTTCGTAGCGTTAATTCTCATTATTTGTTTTACACCGCGTTACGAATAAGTGCAGCTTCTAACTGAAAATAGGTCAACGCCTCAAGTAAATCGCTTGCGATCGCGGCGCCTTGCGGTACGCGCATTTTACGACACACCACAATAAGTTTATTCTCGGTACCTACACACTTCCTACACTTTTCAAATAGTACAAGATCTTATTCCATGATATTTTTAAATAACCAATGAAAGTCTGCACATTTCAAAAAATACAAATACTTATTAATTCTGTTCTCGTTATCTACACTTTCTGCACTTTTCAAAAAGTGCAAATTCTTATTGATTACTTAAAAATATCATCCAATAAGAGAATTTGCACTTTTTGAAAGTGCAGAAAGTGTAGATAACGAGACACACCTATTGGATGATGTTTTTTACCCACACAGCACACTATATTTCGAAAACATTACAACAATATTCCAATATTTCATTGCGACAGCAATGTTGTTGATGTCTTTATGTCAAATATTGCACAATATTTCAGGGCAATATAATAAATAAAACTTTCTGATATATTGCTGAAATCTGTGACAAGAGTCCCTAACCAGACTAGGAGTATCTGAGCGAACACTAGTTCGCTGTCGCGCCGCTAGGTGGCCAAGGCAACTCGCATGAAAAAACGTAGGACCGGGTAAATAATTAATGCGTCGATTATTCGGTTTTCGTCTTCGCCGTCGATATATACTTTTGTATTCTGCATGTAAAAATTACATGTGAAATTATTGCATTTGTATAGAGTATTTAAAAATACAACCGAGGTAATATTTAAGGAGGTATAGGCAACCTGCCCAAAGAAACCCACGATACATTGCTGGCATTGGAATTTATTCTCAGTTATATTATTTCTCAGTTATCTATCTGAGTTATATTTTATTAATATTATGCATTGATATTTCCGAAATATTGACCGGCAATATTATAGCAATATTATGATTGCAACGTGCTGAGCGGACATTGCAAGGTTCCTGCAACATTCCAGAAATATTTAAACAATTTTCAATATATTTCCGGTAATATTGCATTATTTCAAGGGAAACTTTTGACAATGTTGACAAAATATTTCTGTGCTGTGTGGGTAGTAACCGATGAGAATTTGCACTTTTTGAAAAGTGCAAAAAGTGTAGGTAACGAGAACAAACCTAATTAGGTCCGTTTGTGCGTTTCTACGTGGTGCTCCAAAACACTGTAAGTGTGTTTGAAAATGAGCCGAGAGCGCTAAGAGCATCTTGTATCTCGATCTAATGGATGCAACAAATAAAGACGCCACGATGCACTATGTGCTCTCGGATCATTTTCGAACACACTTATAGTAGTTAACCGATGAGAATTTGCACTTTTTGAAAAGTGCAAAAAGTGTAGGTAACGAGAACAAACCTAATTAGGTCCGTTTGTGCGTTTCTACGTGGTGCTCCAAAACACTGTAAGTGTGTTTGAAAATGAGCCGAGAGCGCTAAGAGCATCTTGTATCTCGATCTAATGGATGCAACAAATAAAGACGCCACGATGCACTATGTGCTCTCGGATCATTTTCGAACACACTTATAGTAGTCCGGAGCACGTAAAGCCACTTGCACGAACGGACCAGATACCCACACACAGTATTCAAATGTGTGATTTTCTAGTAAGTATAAACATTAGAAATGAACAATAAACACCTAATTATCGTCCATCATCATACCAGAGACATTGACTATGGCTTGTAACCACCGAACTCTAACCATACTGGAATGCGTACGGCAGTAGTGGGGGCGCGCAGAGAGATAGCAAGGACACAGGGGAGTGTATCAGTATGTCTCTATCACACACTGTACAGTCTCTGAAAAACTTTAATTGAGATCAAACAATGCGCACGGGGAGGACTAAACCAACATAAAATACCCTGAAATAGTGGCACATACATTTTATTTTGAAGACTGCTACATGTTCTTCTCATCGGACCACGGCTGGCGCTGATATGTCGGCGGGACAACATTTTCGCAGGGCTTGTACACCACATGCGCAGTTGAATTCGGAAAGGACAACCTCATCCACTCGCGAGTGAGAGGCCGGCACGCTGGCCGGGTTACCTCCGAATACAGGCGTACGCATTCCAGTATAGTTAGGGCCACGGTCTTACATACAGGTCTTGCGACTCCGATGGTGGGGGGTGACTCACTTTCTGAAGTCGCGTCGTAAACGGCGCTGTGATCGAGTGCTTCTCGTGCGACAAAGATAGAAATAAATATTTCTCTCCCTCTCTCTAATGGCGCGAGTCTACTGTATAACCCTGTAATTATCCGAATAACAGAATCGATGGCATAAAGAAGAAGAAGCGATACACATGCATACAATGAAACCTGACAAATAAAAAAAGTGCATGTTAATTATTACCTCTAAGCGAACCAAAGTTTTTTATATGCAGGCGGGAGCGCTAAGTATATACGAGTTTTGTAACACATGCACTTTGAGTTTAATTTAGCAAATGGAGTTATTCCGTGCTTGGTTTTTTTAAGCGTATTTTCGTAGCGAATGCTAGACACTTTTTAAATAATCCGGAAAGTGAGACTTTTTCAGGAATAAAGAACCCACACAGCACAGAAATATTTTGTCAACATTGCCAAAAGTTTCCCTTGAAATAATGCAATATTACCGGAAATATATTGAAAATTGTTTAAATATTTCTGGAATGTTGCAGGAACCTTGCAATGTCCACTCAGCACGTTGCAATCATAATATTGCTATAATATTGCCGGTCAATATTTCGGAAATATCAATACATAATATTAATAAAATATAACTCAGATAGATAACTGAGAAATAATATAACTGAGAATAAATTCCAATGCCAGCAATGTATCGTGGGTTTCTCTGGGCAGGTTGCGTATACCTCCTTAAATATTACCTCGGTTGTATTTTTAAATACTCTATACAAATGCAATAATTTCACATGTAATTTTTACATGCAGAATACAAAAGTATATATC